GTAGAATCTAGAGCTGGGGCTCGGGAATTTGTGTTTTTTTAAAGCTGTGATTTTTGTTTTTAAAAGCACTACATGTGAGAAACACTGCCTAAAATGAAATGAGGTAGGATTTTTCACACCAATAAACCATTTAGATTTTCTGCTTTTTTTTTTCCTTTCCTATTTGGTCATTGTGTATCTAAGCTCAGTAACTAATTATGAATCTTGTCATTTCTACCACAGTAGTTCTAGACCAAGTCTTGGTATTTCTTCAGTCACATGAGGAAAATATTATGTAAGCTTAATTTTTGGGCAAGTACCTTGAGCCAAATTTTGGTCTACTCTATTTCTTTGAAACAGTTAGTATACCTACAGTTGATGAATTCATCACTTAATAATTTTAAAAATTTTATCTACATAGTAGCTGTTTTTCTTAAATGTAGTTTTAAATATTGGAGAAAATATAGAAAGAGGAACTTTTATTATATTGCTTGTGGGAGCATTTGACAAAACTCTAGGCAAGTTGAAGATATGTAGGCTTGAACCCAACAATTCCTTTCCTAGCTGTCCTAGATAAACTAAGATGTGTGAAAAAAATCTTGTTTACTTTTACTTTTAATATAAGAAAAAAAGTCGAGAGCAATGTAAATATTAACAGGAGAATGACAAATTGTGACATAATCATGTGATGAACTCTGTTATACTGCTATCTAAGTGAGAGCTGTGTATATTGTCACGATGAATGACAGAAATAAGTTGCAAATGGTTATGTACAATGTAACATTTATATAAAATATATATGATATGATAATCATATAAAGCTTGAATGCAATGATATATGTTGTTTCAAATACTTGAATTTATAGTTGTCATATAAAAGCATACATAGAAAATAAATAAATTCACTATTGTGATTGTTTCTCAGGAGAGAGGAGAATGGGACCAGGATGTGGAACAAAAGGGAGTCAACTATATATGTAGTCTTTCTTATTTTTTATTTTTTGTATATATATTTTCATTGATTATTTTTTTAAGAGAGGAAGGGGGTCAGTGTGAGAGATACATCTATCAGCTGCATCCTGCACACCCCCTACTGGGGATCAATCCCACAATTTAGGCAGGTGCCCTAACAGGTAATTGAACCAGGACCTCTCAGTCAATGGGATGGTCCTCAATCCACTGAACCACACCAGCCAGCCTAGTCTTTCTTATTAAAAAAAAAAAAAATTAAACTAAGCATGGCAGAATATTAGAATTAAATACAATTGGATTGGAGAGCTAGGATGTGGAGATTCATTTTGCTATTCTCTTGGTTTTTCTGTGGATTTAAAATGTTGATTTTTTACAAATTAATGAAGCAATGTGCTGTCCTTTTTTTGGTGAAGATATTCTGCAATAAGATGTACAATTGGAATGAGTGTTTCATTAAGAGCATGGATTGGGTCTATTCTGTCTATTCTATGACCTGTAATAAGTGCTTAACTGTTAAGAACTACAACTTACAGTTTATCCCATAGAAATCAGACCTTTAACCAAGTTTTCAAGATATCTTTAAAAATAAAATAAAAAATTTTTAAATAAGATGTAATGTTTTGCATCCTAGCTTTTTTTGTTTTTTAAATCTTTATTGTTGAATGTAGAATGTATTACAGATGTTCCACATTTTTCCCCCATTGACCCACTTCTGCCCCCCCTCCCGCCTTTTCCCACACTACTGTCTGTGTCCATTGGTTATGCATATAAGTTCTTTGGTTTATCTCTTCCCACCACCCCCCAACCCCTTTCCCTTTGAGGTTTGTCAGTCTAGCAATGAATTTGTACTTCTTAATCCCTTCACCTTTTTCACCCATTTCCCCAACCCCCCTCCCAACTGGCAACTAACAAAATGTTCTCTGTATCTATGAGAATGTTTCTGTTCTACCTGTTAATTTTGTTTGTAGATTCCATTGTCGATAGATATGTATTCATTGCCATTTTGTTTGTTCATATATTTTATCTTTTTCTTCAAAAAGACCCTTCATCATTTCATATAATAACGGTTTGGTAGTGATGAACTTCTTTAACTTTTTCTTGTCTGGGGAACTCTTTATATGACCATCAATTCTAAATGACAGCTTTGCAGGATAGAGTAATTTTGGTTGTAGGTTCTTGGTTTTCATCACTCTGAATATTTCTTGCCACTCCCTTCTGCCCTGCAGTTTCTTTTGAGAAATCAGCTGACAGCGTTGTGGGAACTCCCTTGTAGGTAACTAGCTGCCTTTCTCTTGCTGCTTTTAAGATTCTCTTTGTCTTGAACCTTTTGCATTTTGATGATGATGTGTCTTGGTGTGGGCCTCTTGGGGTTCCTCTTGTTTGGGACTCTGTGCTTCCTGGACTTGTATGTCTGTTTCCTTCACCAAGTTAGGAAAGTTTTCTGCCATTATTGTTTCAAACAGGTTTTCGATTTCTTGTTCTCGCTCTTCTCCTTCTGGCACCCCCAGGATGCGAATGCTGGCACGCTTGAAGTTTTCCCAGAGGCTCCTTACACTGTCCTCATTTTTTTGGATTCTTTTTTCTTTTTGCTGTTCTGATTGGGCGTTTTTTTCTTCCTTATATTCCAAATCGATGGTTTGCTTCTTGGATTTATGTACTCTATTATTGAAGCTGTGTAAATTATTCTTTATTTCAGTTAATGCCTCCTTCAATTCTGACTGTGCATCATCCATCATTTCTGACTGGTCCTTTTTTATGCTCTTGAGGTCCTCACTGAGTTCACTGAGGTTCTCACTGAGTTCATTGAGTATCCTTATAAGCAGTATTTTGAACTCAGCATCTGTTAGGTTGCTTATCTCCATTTCGCTTAGTTCTTTTCTTGGGGTTTTGTTCTGTTCTTTCATTTGGGACCTGTTTTTCTGTCTCCTCATTTTGGCTGCCTCCCTGTGTTTGTTTCTGTGTATTACTTAAAGAGAGGTATGGGGCTCGCTGAGACCAGATGCTCGTTTGAAAGAATGTAGGAAAACCTGAAGCAGGATCCAAGACAGGCCAATCCTATGGTTAAGCAAGTGGCAACAGTTTGGGTGGGCCTGACAGCTGGGCGGGGTGGGGCAGGGTGGGGCGGGGTGGGGCGGGGCCTCAGGGAGTCAGCAGGGCGGGGCTACCAGTGTGAGCCAGGTTGCTGGAGTCCCAGATATGGAGACTGTCTGCCGCCCCAGGGAAGGGCTCAACAAAGGAACAAAGGCCTCTGACAGCAGGTTTGTCCTGGAGAAAGCCCCCTCTCCAGCCCTTGCTCCAGTGCCAAACAGCTCAGTTCTTCCCTGTATGTCTCTGGTGCCCCTCGAAGTGCCTTCCCTCCAAGTTTAGAGGGAGAGAGTCCGATAAGACCGTGCGCGGCCCCTTTAAGGAGCTGCCTGTGGCTCCAGCCGCCTCAGCCTCCCTGCGCCTCAGTTCCTGCTGATTTTTCCAGCCAGATGTTATGGGGACTTCTCTTCCTGGCACTGGAACCCTGAGCAGGGCACCTGGTGTGGGACGGGGACCCCTCAGCCCTCAGGAAGGACCTTCCCAGCCGAGGTATCCTGATTTTTATCCGCCATACGTGGGTGTGGGACCAGCCGTCTCGCAGCTGCTCCTCAAGCCTCCGCCCCTCCTACCAGTCTGGATATGGCTGCTGCTTTAATTCCGTAATTGTAGGACTTCCATTCAGTTTGATTTTAGGCAGTTTTTAATGATGGTTGTTCTATAGTTTAGTTGTAACTTTGATGTGGTTGTGGGAGGACTCAATACTGCAATACTGCATTTACCTACGCCGCCATCTTGACCAGAAGTCTGCATGCTAGCTTTTAATCCTTCCATTTATTTACTTAATTATTTATTTATTCATTTATTTTAAACCTTCACCCGAGAATATTTTTTCCATTTATTTTTTGGGGGAAGGGGAGGGAGAGACAGACATACACATTGCTGTGAGAGAGACACATTCATTGACTGACTCCCTGCACAAACCCCAACCAGTGTCATCCTGCAACCCAGGTAATGTGCCCTTGAGTGAAATTGAACCTACAACCTTTCAGTGTGAGGGCCAGTGCTCTAACCACCGAACACCACCAGCTATGGCATCCTTCCCATTGTTTTTATTTTTAAATATGTTTTTATTTATTTTTTTAGAGAAGGAGATAGAGATAGAATCCTCAATGTAAGATTAACATCACTCGGCTACCTCATGCATGCCCCCTACTGGGAATCAAGCCCGCAACCTGGGCATCTGCCCTGACTGGGAATCCAACCAGAACCTCTCAGTCCATGAGGTGACTCTCAATCCTCTGAGCCACAGTGGCTGAGCCATCCTTCTTATTTTTAAAAAGAGAGAACAACTGTGAAAATCATTTGTCTTGTCACTACTCTCTTATTTCATCTTGAATTCTGACAATTGCACAACTATATTTTCCACCTTAAGCTTTGTATTCATAATAGAATTCTTAAAATTAGGCTATATGCGGATTTTTGGGTTTTGCAGTAGCATGTATATTTATGTGTGTATATGTACAGGGTGTCCCAAAAATGTATACAGGGTGTCTGTAGATTCTATTACATTCTAGAAAATGAAATGTATTTTAATAAACACTAGCTTTATAATTACACTTTTTGTGTGTATATATTTTTTCGAAGGGCACCCTATATGTGTATGTGAGAGAGTGATTGGTCAACCTTGTGGTATGAACTTGAATTTATCTTAAAATTATCTGTAATTATGATATTCTTCAGAAGCTCAGTGTGCTTCAAGTTAGACATTGAAGTATGAGTTTTGATTACACTAACAAGACATATTTGACTTTTAAATTTCAAGAAGGTAGTAATAATAAGAAAATGAGTTTTAAAAACTAATAATACTCTGGACTGGAATATATAAATACTACTGCTGGATTTTGTAATCTCTGATTGTTCTGTGCTTCATAGGGATCAGAAAACTGTCAACCTCATTTGAAAATTTTCTAACATATATATAATGTGAACAAATTTTTTAAGTTATCACTTTTATTTTTTCCTAGGTTTAATAATGATAAAATGAAGATCATAATAAAAAAGCCCTGTACTTAGTTCAGCAATTCTACCTTGTAAGTATTAAGTCACAGCCTCCCAACCATTGCTATAAAAAGTTAGTTTGATATTATTTTTTGCTTTATTTCTGATTTTTTTTTTTTTTACCATCCCAGAATGACAACTTCCTAATCTCCCTTTATCCTCTACACATTGAAGTTTGGTGTTTATTTAATCCAATTTAGAGTAAGGATAATGCCATTGCCATAGGTAAGTTTTCTGTTTGGGAAAGTATCTGAGAACTAGGCCCTAGCATCTCTAAATCTGAAAATCACAATTTTACACCCTTTCCCTTATCCTTCAAAGGAATTTATTGATAAGTAATGGTCTTTTTTTATTATCATTATTCAGGTTCATTGACAATTATTTTATGGTTTTATAACTTGGAAGTATCCTCTCCACTTAAGAAAATTTTGTCTTTTTTTTACATTTCACTAGGTTGCACTTCAGACTTCTTTGTGAAGTGCTTAAAATTTAGCTATTAAATTTCAGAAGGTGGGAAAAACAGGAAGGCAATCCCTTTTTCTTCCTTTTAGATATATACATGCACACCTTTTTTCTTAGAATATGAAACATTTTTACCCTGATTCAATTAACTTTTGAGAAACTAGTAAATTCTGAGGGAATAATGCTGACAGGTTGGCTGAGATTAATATTATGCCCCTAGAAAAACTCTCAAATCCAGGTCATGGTAAATGGACAAGATACTTATTTTCCTAAAAATATTTGAGACCCTATACCAAAATGATTGATTTCCATCTATTTTTTTTTTTTAATCTAATTCTGCATCTCTAAAAGAAATTCAAGTGCAGCTGTTTCTGTTTTTGATGTTGAGGGATGGCCCTGTTTAAATGAAAACTAATACTTGAGATGCTTTTTTTAACATTATCTCATACCATTGCATCAGTGACCCAGTAAATAATGTGTATGTGTCAAAGAGTGACCTTATGATCATAGCCATTGAACTCGATGAATAGCTTTTAGGGTGGAAATCAATTAAATATCAAAACCTTTTAATAAAATGAGCCAGTTTGAAGAGTAGTAGCCAAATGTCACAGGTCACTTCTTTTTAATTTTTTCCCTTTTATATTTATATCTCTGGAAAACTAGAATGGAAACATCTGAAAATCCCCAAAGAATCCTATATAATTCAGGCTTGGGTTTCTTAATTGGTCCCTTGGAAGCCAGCTCAGCTTTTCTTCAACTTAAATCTTAGAAAAAGAAGTCTTCTCATTTGGTATTGCATTCTCATTATAGACTGGAGGGCGGTCTACTTTTCAGAAAGAAATAGGTATCATTTAACTTTTTAACAAATTTGTAGGCACACATAACGTCCCATTCTTAACCTCATTTCATTTCCTTTATAAATTTCTAAATGAATAGTTTTTCTGGGATACTCTCCAGTATCTTTTAAACATACATCATTTGCAGCGTTTCATACTTGGAATGCTTTTTGTTGTCTGTTCTAGGTAATATGCTTGTAGTTCCCTGTAATTTAAGATATTAAAATTGTGATGTTTCTAATTAAACAATACCCAGAAAAATAGGACATAGTGACAGTAGTCAGTGATTCTGTATGATTGTGTGTGGCATCTTTTTTTTTTTTTTTTTTTAAGTATTTTTAATGCCATTGATTCTTTAACATAGGGAGATAGGGCTTTCTTTTTCTTTTTTAAAGCTATTTGCTTATAGAATGTAGATGTTACAGAAGTTGTGGAGTATTGGTGTTTTCATATATTTGATGCTGTGAAAATTAAATAATGGAATTGTTTGGGGTACACTTTTATAAATTAAGGAGATGAAATATTTTTTAAGTTTGGTTTTCATTTTAAAGCTCTTAAACTTTTGTTGCTTAACATAAAACATTCAGAAATAGTCACCCCCACACATGCACTTTTTCTTTTTTTGAGGTATGTTTCAATTTTTCATGTTGCATTTTTGGTACATAGAAAAATTATATAATTCTGATATGTAATTCTGACATATAATTCTGATAAGTAAATGGGGGGGGAGTCTGTAACAAAAATAAATTAATAAAATTTTTTTAAAAAAGAAAATAACTAAACATATCATTTTGTGCCAGATAAAATAACATCTTTAGTTGTATTGTCAGTGGTTTTATCTTTTTAATCTACAACAACAAAAATCTTAAGATATTGACTTTATAACTAGGAAACAGAAGATAAAACAGAAAAGTCATTATTCATTGCTATCAGTATTAGTCCTGTAAACAAAAATGATAGAACAAATCACTTTGTAATTCAGGAGACTTACTAAATTTGCCTGTTCTCAAGAGGAGGGCTAGTAAAAGACAATGACAAAAATTATTACTCTCTGACTGATTATCAAGATAAGTTTTTAGAAATGTTATTAAGTTGCCATGGTCGGTTTGGTTAATGGTTAGAGCATTGGCCTGAGGATCTCAGGTTCGATTCCCGGTCAAGAGCATGTACCTGGGTTGCAGGTTCGATCCCTGGGCCCAGTCGGGCTCATGCAGGAGGCAACAAATCCATGTGTCTCTCTCATATCGATGTTTCTCTCTCTCTCTCTCTCTCTTTCCCTTTCCCTTCCACTCTATCTTTAAAAAATCAGTGGAAGAGTATCCTTGGGTAAGGAGTAACATACACACAAAGAAAGAAAGAAATGTTACTAAGTTAGCAGTGCAATAGCAATGACATGTAATCATACCATTCTAGAAAATATTGTCAGTTCTTGAATTATAAAGAGTATAAATGTAGGACTAATGTACTGCAAATAAAATAAGAATATTGTAATCAGTAGGCCAGTAAATGATTGGTATGGCAAATAATATAAAATCTGTTGTTTTCAACAAAAATGTGATTCCTTTGGTATTCATCACTAGATATAGCTGAAATTTTTTCTATTTTTAATTTATTTGTCATGGAAATTCATTCTTGTATAAGTTACTGTATACCTGAGCCACAAATGGGGACGTTTTAATTATCTTGAATAGTTTTATAATATGAATATTATTGGGAGAGATATGTGCCAAAAGAGAGAAATACAAATTGCTCTTTTGGCACTTGGATTAGTAGTAAAGGATGTTATAACCCAAAGCACAGACAACTAAGGGTACTAGGTACTGTCAACATTCGGTGCTAAAGAAGACTTTGCAAACTTATTGTTATGATCATTTGATATTAATATAGTAAGTATGTGAAATCTAGGCTCTTAAGCTGTATATTCTAAAATTTATGAAACATAGAGAAAGTTTACAATATCCTACAGCTATTTTTCAGTCATTGTTCATAAAACTGCTGTTTTTGAGAATTTGACAATGTTTAAACAATGCCAGGTGTTGCTGACCTCAAAATCATATATTTGACATATATGTATTTAACAGAATAATTGAGTTAAATCTGAGCTTTTATGTTTAAGGCAAGGCTATGTTTCTCTCAACAAAACTATAACCATAAAATTTGAATTTTAGTGCAAGAATTATACAAAGAGGATGGATTTATTGTTTTCTCACCGTGAACAACTTCTTGATGCAGAAGCAGTGATTCAAAGAAGAATGATAGAGAATTTCTTATTTATGATGTTACTTTGGATGTTTTCTTAAGAAAATGAAAACAAAGCAAAATTTAATAGCAACAGGTCTTGATTTAACTAGGAAATAAACATACAAATGTAATGAACTTATAATAGGAGTTTCAAGTTCTAAGCATAAATATAATAGGTGACATCAATAGACTACTCAATGCAGTCTTGGCCTTTGTCACTAATTTGTCTTGAGTTTTATAAGTTATCTCCATGTAGGAACAGGAATAAATTGAATACAGAATTGAAATAAATGTATGTCCAGAAGTCAGCATTCACACCTTTTTACCTAAGCTATTAATTTTACCTTTCCTGTTATATTCAATAAATAAATTTATTAAACATTTTTTAAGCTTTGTTTTACTTAGTTTGGCTCTTCAAGTTGTTTCTTTAAGCTCCTACTATTTGGTGCTCTAGAGTCAGAACTTAAAATTGGCAGTTTTTCCTCCAAATCCTTAATAAGACAGCTTAGTAAAATACATTTTCCTCAAACCAAATTTTTTAATTGGTCTGTATTTTAGCCCTCAAAATATTAGATTTAGAATCATAATAAATATTTTTCTTAATGTTATAACTTACATTTGTCAAAAATTGATAGAAAATAAAATTCTCATAAGAGAGCAGATTTCAGTTTAGTAGATAATTTCATCCTTCAGCCCTACATACTATCTTCTAAAAATATACTTTATGTCTTTCTCTAGGGAGTCCATTTTGGATCTGCTACATTTTGACAGTATTTCTTTTAGAATATTATATATAGAACTGAACCCAATATACTCAATGTGGTTTGAGCTAAAAAACAGTGCACCTCTGTTTATTCATACAGTGCACCTCTTATGAATAAAATACTTCTGTTAATGCAGCCCGATTTCACAGACTTTCCCTTTGTCATCAACACTCTTGGTTCATGTTGAATTACAAGCCACTGAAACCCTAACTTTGTCAGAATTGTGTTTCAAATCCTACTGTAAATTTAGATTCAGCAGCCCTGGCCAGTGTGGCTTAGTTGGTTGAGCATTGTTCCTTGCACCAAAAGGTCACCAGTTTGATTCCTGGTTGGGCACATACCCAGGTATCGGGTTTGTATCCCCCAGTCAGGGCAAGTACAGGAGGCAGCCACAACAATGTTTGGTTTCTCTCTCTCTCTCTTGGTTTCTCTCTCTCTCTCTCTCTCTTTGTCTCTCTCCCTCTCTCTCTCCCCTCCCCTTCCTTCCTCTCTTTTTCTCTCTAAAATCAATAAAAAACATATTTAAAGATTCAGCCGGCATTTAATGACCTATTCAGCACTAGATATGCTCATAAAAGTTTAAGATTGTACAATCTTAATGCAGCTATAAAATAGACATTAATAGACCCATTTTACAAAAAGGAAACTGAGGCTCTATATAATGAAATAATACCCAAGATTACGATTTCATCATAGGTCTTTTTGATACAAATTCAGTGTTATGTATCATTGCTACCTCAATACATTATTTGGCTGCTTATTATGTTGATAAAATTTAGAAATGCAGAAATTAACCAGTGAATTTTATTGCATTCAGTACTGTTTTAGAACTTAAGAGACATGCCTAGAATTTTTAATGTTTTTGTTAAATACAATAATGTCTTTTGTGAACTATATGAACTGGAGTTAGAGCAGTAAAAGA